TGATCACTCTCATGCATCTTCACGACTCAGAGTGAAACTGTTTTTCCGCCTCGGAGAGTTAGAATACATCAAATGAAAAAAATGCTATTGTCTTAAATGACTACATGTTTACTTATGCACAGGTGTATTGTCAAGAGCGTTGGAGAAAAGAGCTTCAGGTAAGAAAAGCCTTTGGTGATATAAATACTGTAAATGTTCGGAGTTCTTTTCCAAAAAGGCCGAACAGTCGAATTAGCTCTGGCGCAATGTGTCATCGGGGTCAAAGTTAGACCTCAGAAGCATCAGAGGAAGTGTGGGGAAAAAAAATTGGGACCCGTTAGAAGGAACCTCGTCATGGTTTGTCTATCTTGAAGAATTCAACCTTAATTTTTTCATGTTTACCAATTTACATCGTGTCCCTCTTTAGGGTTTCTCTTCTTTCAGGGGAACGATTATGTACTGAAGGTTTATTGCCAATTTGTTGGAACGATAATAGTTCTTCAAAATTACGTGACGTAGCTCTTTATATGTGTAGACATATGATTAAACCGCTTATTTACTGTCATCGAAGATAAAGGTGGCTTCATTGTTATTCTCAAATACAACCATTGACCTTCAAAGAATTTCTTTACATCGCCTTCCGGTTCTTTAGCTATCCCTTACATTCCGCCGTAAAAAAAGGAAAACATCACAAACCACACCTGGATGTCTTATTTTACACCTTGGTCTAACTTCTGGCGGAAGAATTCACTTATTTCCTTTCCAGATTTTTGTCAAAGCCATGCAGCTGGGGTGCAAGCTGATCCAACTGCTTTGGTTACATAATGTGTGACATGGCTGGTAACACACATGAAATGTCATGTCCTACGGGACTTAAGTTCATTCCAGCTATACTCGTCTGTCATTGGCCGAACAATGTCGAGTGCGAGGATACTGGAAGTGAAGGGCCGGCAGGATAAAGAAACCGAGTAGGATCCGGTCCCCCCACACCTGGCCAATGAAGACGTAATATTTGAATACTTAAATTACGTGTAATAGAAAAGTTATATCCGCAAAGAAAACATTGTGACAATGTGATTTCTTTAAGTGCAAAAATTTTCTTCTGGTTGGCTGAGAGTTAGGCAAGCCTTGACCATGATATGATAATGCGGAGTATCAGAGGCTAATTGATCGTAGAATCTAGTTAATTCCCAACGTATAATTGATCGACTTGTACTTGCCCCGGCGAGCAAGCCCACGTCAAATTCTCCAATCATCAGGTAAATATTGTTATGATGCTCTTTTAACAAGCTTAAACCTTCAGTCTAGATGAAAATATCCGATTCCCTGGACTTAAATTAGTTCATCGTTGATGAAGAAAAGATGGAACCGAACTTCATATGACTCTTTTGAATTTGGTAACTCCCGCAAAGCAAAAAGACCTTTGCTAGCTCGTATACAGCCGCCCCCTATCCTCCAAAAGAAAAGAGGACGGCTGTAAACGGGCTCACCAAGAGTTAACAAGCTGAGGGATGAAAACTTAGCCTCGGGGATTCGTCTACATCATTGATGTAAATTCGAAGAATAGATATCATTAATTAATGAAAATACATTATATTGCGTTAGAAAATCTGAGCCAATATGGTGCAACACGTTAGCCTCAACATAACTGACTTTCCTCTCTTCTAAGTCCAAATTAATTAAACACAGTTGCTGCAAAATCAAAAATCTCTGAAACTTCGAAATAGCATAACAACTCTTTTTGCTAGAACAGTACGTTGCTCATTTTCCTAATTCAAATGCATGATCGCCCAAATGAGTTCTTCAAGTAGGTGGAATAATTTGATTCATCTTTTAAAAGCTAATGTCAAAGTTACGCATTAAGAATCAATATAATCAAAAACAGAATTACTGAACGTCCGTCGCAAACGTTTACAATATATTGAACCCTCGCTTAGAGCTATAACACGACTGTTCAGCTCTCCGTTATTGCTGTGTTCACCACATATCACCACTTGGTAAGTAACCATGAAATACATAACTCTACCAATTATGAAATCTATTTGTTATTACTGATTTTTAAAAGCAAAGTCGGATAGCTTGTTTTGTTTTGGAACTACCTCACTTCCCCTTTCCTTTATTAAGAAAACCTCTGCCACATTTCAAATAAGTTGCAATACGGGGAAAATATGTTTTTGACATTGTATTTTACTACCTTTTCTTCGTATACTAAATTTTAAGAAATAATACCTCTACCCTAAGTTTTTGTGTCACAAAGATTGTAGTTATTCAAACGGGTAGAAACATTTGGCTTCCGAATCTCCCCTTAAAGGTTGTTATGTTGACTTTGCTTAATCCTGCAGTTTACATGTTTCCACTCATTTACAAATTTATTAATAAAATGTTTCAGTGACACCCTCATCATTCATACATGAAACATGCATTTATTTCAACTAAGACAATTCGCCACAAATTTTCTAAGGAAAAGATATAATTCTAGTGTCACATTTGTCCCTAACCAAACAGACTGGACAGGTGCGTTGGCAATCGAGCAATAAAGCGACATTAAAAACTCCCTAACAAGACCTTAATGATTTAAAACACGAAATAGCGGCTCTGTTATCCTGTCTTTCTGCGTGCAGTTCCATTTTTTTCCTTTCAATAATTTCGCGTAATAAAGAAGTCAGTTCTTTCCTTTAATAACACGTGTCCGAGCAATGAAGATCTTAGTTTAAAATGATTGAAAAGGGGATGCCGAGAAAAGGATGAGAGTTACAAATCCCGTCATTGCCATTTAGAAGGTTAACTTCTTTCAAGAGATAATAGCCTGAGTTTATTAACTCCTGCATATTTTCAGTAAAAATCAGTTACTTAATCTGCGGCGTAAATTTGTCGTTCATAATGTAACATACTAACCTGACCAAATTTATATTGACTCATGTTTGTTTACCCGGGTTCATATTAAAACATATGCTTATTGCGAAAATGAAAGGTGACACATGACAACTATCTTTCTTACCAACGTCGTGTTACTAGGATAACAATTTCCGGAATTCCTTTCCGTTCCGGTCAACGACTTCCCATTTAAATGCCTTTTAACTGATGTTATAACTTAATACCTGTTTGATGTCAATTTCAAAGGATTTTTAAGGCGCAGGTAGGTGGAATCTAGCGAGAGAACGTTCAACGCTAAGGGGAAGGCACCGGGAACTTTGTCCCTTAAGTTCTTCTTTAATCCTTGTTCATTGCCACGGGTCTGCTTAATATAGATTCGATCCCTTTTTCTTTAATCACTATGTGGCAGACTCTGAATCTCATCACTTCTACCAAACTCTAACTCTGATTCTTGCGAAGTACTAACTTGCGAACCAACCGACCGTATCGGGATCCTGACCTCCTTTCACGAGAATTTTACGAATGAACAACTTACTTGACGTTTCTGATAAAAAAAACAATCTTTGATTTCGAAAGCCAAAAACAAAACAAAAAAAACAACTTCAGTAGTGTAGGTCCTGGGCAAGAACAGAAGACCAAGCAGGCCCTTCCATTACTGAATGATAGCCAAGTTAGTCAACATAAGGTAATAGCTAAAACCCAATTCAATATAACTTCAGACTTCGAATTCGTAACTTATCGAGACACAAATGAATCACTGAATCATACTGCCCTCTAATTCACTGACCCCACGGTAGTAATGAAGTAAACGACCGTCTAAGCACTTAACTGAACAGTTCTTTATTCATGTCAGTTCATTTAGATCCTGCATAAGACGACCGGACCAAGAAAAAAGAAGACAACAACCGTTTGGTGTTTAGTAATTGCTTTCTCAGTGTTAGCCGTTACCGAGTCCTCGAAAAGAAACTCCACTGGTAGATACAAACAATCTATATGTCTCTTAAATGATTACATGCGTGAGTTTATGGCCTATGTTCGTTGTGCCAGGTCTGTCGTGGCAGTTGTAGCAGCATTCGTTTCTCGCGTCTTCTATCTAATTTAGTCGTTCGTGTGGCTGTTTCTGCGAAGAAAAAAAAACGTCTGCACTTGTTTTTTGGTCGCATAAATTGACTTTTAGTGGCCTGATTGTTGAAAGATTCCTCTTTAAAGAAGTGTGTTCTGGTCATGGTTACGCACTTCCCCTTAAAGTGCGTCATGGTCGTGGGAGTTGATTATGCGTTTCGTTTTAATGGAAAAAATAATCGTCGAAGTTGTTGTCGTAATTTATACCCTTTGTCTGGCCGTTCCAAGATTCATCTCGTATGACCACGTGGTCTTTAAAAGGAAGTTTGCAATCGTTTTTGTCTTCTATCATTTCACCAAGGAAATGAAACCTACACCAACTAGCTCAAGACAAACTACCAGCGCACTGAGATGAGTTTTTCACAGAAAAAGAAATTACCTCACCCAGCGATTCGCAACCAATCGAACGCAGCTAACGAAAACTACAGTAAAGACCCGCATACAAGAACCTATGTTTTTAAGTTAACCTCCGTATAAGTGTAATTAGACTATACTTAGGTTCTAAATCAGGTTCTTAATATAAGTTTAAAAAGGAGAAATGTAGTGTATTAGGACAGCGGTAGTTCGTAAATATATACGGGAACTTAAAGTGTGCGCGAGATCGGGAAAGTGAGGAGGGATTTATTTCGTGTGCTCGGAGTAAAGCGTATGTTTTTAAGCCTTTGTGGCTTCAATGCATTACAGGAAACCTCTATTCGTGGGTGTATGCCGACCTCAAAGTGTCCTCCTTTACATGGTTAGTTAGTCGGATATGTTACACAGTTATGGATGTATTGACAGTACAGTATTGTGCTCTTATGACTGTCAGTGTTTAGGCTAGTTTTTTTTTTTTCTGCCCTTCTTGTATCGCATATGATGTACTGTAATATATTTGAAAAAATCTCTGTATTGAAATTTTAGCCTAGAATGGTTCTTATGTGAAGGGTGAAGGGTGAACTGGGAAATTTTAGCCAAACATGATCGGTTAAACTAATTCTAGTTGAGTTGTTTAATTAAACCGATGAAGCTGCCTAATCCTTGTTTAGCAATATTGTAAACGATTGTGTGATTTTCCTTCAGAGGAATCGCCAAATGAAGGAAAAAGATTTCTCTGGGGCGGACCTCCCCCTTTTTTCGTTGGAGGCAAGCGTCCAGTTGGCCTTCCTGACATTAATCGAGGCAGAGAAATCCAGCAGGGAACTCCACCTTATTTTGTTTCTCTCTTCGATCCAACCACAAACACCCCTTTTTACTCAGCCTACAAAGTTTTACCCGAGCAAGCAAAGGACATTGGCAAGTATTCGAGGCCCAAAAATCAAAATTGGAGGAATCCTCCGGGTACGTAAATGGTTATTTGACAATCATTTATTACAAGACCGATTGCAGGACAATCAATCCATAAAGCAAATCCAGAGGCTTGGAGTATATCCTGCGTTGCTTGAAAACACGCAACGTCACTATAGAAGTTGGGAAAGCCATCATATTGCTTCTTCCCAAATTTTTTTTTGCGCAAAACGACGCCTATTTTGCAAAGAATCTCTATGTTTTCAAGAGAAACAAAAGTGCAGTCAGAGGGCTTCATACTTCCGTAATTTCAGAAAAGAGACAAAAAAGCGATATGATTCCCTGGAATGTTCAAAGATCCCTTTCAGTCCGTAACTAGTAATTATATTATTGTGCGAAAGACAAAATATCACCACTATCGTCATCGTACTCATAAGACTATGATTTGATAATTTAAATGTGACAAGTTATCCGTATTCATCGAAGAATGTGGCTTATGATTATAGGTGTTCCTGGTGTCAAAGCCGCTTATAAAAGAGCCAACGCAGAAGCCACACGAGCGTTCAGAAATAAACTCACAAAAGGTCACATGAATCCCTCAGGTATCAACTCCTTTGACATAAATTTCATGAAGGCTACTTTCACTCTTTCGAATGCTGTACCTCAGTTTGAGGCATCAAACAACGGACCTTGGAAGGATTTTGAGAATAAGATAAAAGATTATGCCAATAAAACCTGTGGGAGTAAAACCCGCCAAGGAACACTTTACCTACTGACAGGCAGATCCGAAAAGGGCCTTAATGGCGTACCGAAGCCGCGCCTTAGGAACACATTTCAAGTGGGACCAACAACAGTAAGACTTGATACTCCTCGGGCTGTTTGGACGGCGGGATGCTGTGTGTGGAAGGAGCCCGGAAAGATCTTTGGAAAGTTATGGCAAACTGAAAAGGCCGAGTCCTTTGCAGTGATGAGCAACAATCATTACGACGGAAACCAGCTACACCAGACAGAAATGAGCGTAAACGACCTGGAGACGCACTTGAAGGCACCAGCATCAAACGTGGATTTGTTTCCAGGAAATGCAAATTGTGCTCGAAACAACAAAATACTATACTGATATATACCAGGAAAAGGCTATAAACATTCGAAAGAAACTGTTCTAGAAACCATCATAAAAACAAAACGAAAAGATTCGTTCCTCTCATTATAAACCCTCTAAAACATGTAAAATCCTAATTTAAGACGAAACATAAATGAAGGTTAACATTAAAAATTTATCGAATAAAAGCTTATTTGTATGCCGTAGGCTTCGAGTTAGGCAAGGAATACTTGTATTCATTGCCTAATTAAGCCGGCGAAATTCATCTCAGTCCACTCCATTGCACTCTAATACAATTTACTCCAACCCAAATCCACTCTAATACATCACAAGAAATTCTAGCAAGCTCTTTCCGACCCTTTACAATTCAACTGTGGTGCTGCGTCGGTGGGAGAGTGTAACAGGGTAATTTCAAGTGAAATAGAGTTCGTTTGCTTGGATAGAGATAATGTAATTTAGTATTATTAAATGTGTTGATAACGTAAATTGGCCACCGTAAAGAGTTTCAAAACTAAGCCCTTCGTCCTTCGCTCTGTCGAAAGGCTAACGCTCGAAACGTCGTCAGCTTTGAAACTCTTTACGGCGGCCAATTTATGTTATCAACTGAGTTGATAATACCAAATTACCTAATCCATGAATAAATGAACTCTATTTCACTTGTACCCACTCCAACTCCTTCTTAATCGTTTTCATTCCTGACTACCTCACCCTACTTCACTCCAAAGTACACCACCTTGCCTCAGCCGCATTTAGTCACGTAAAAACTATTCATGAGTTTATGAATGCTTTTATTTCCTCTCACGCAACAACTATTCATTCATTTACTCAATCACTAACTCATTATATTCACTTATTCACTCGTTCTTTCATCATTGCTTCATTCATTCATTCTTTCGCCAATTGTCTTTCTCTAGTACTGAATGGTCAAATTTAGAATTCTTTATGGGGTGTTCACACGTTGATAGCACTAGGACATTATTAAACAATTCATGACATCTATTCATTGTGTTCAATTACGAGTAGGTTTTGCCTTCTAGTATGATAAAACAAAAACAAGTTCATATTTAAACGGATCGTAGTTTTCATTCTATTATATTAACAAAGGAATGAACGACATGTTATTCCCCAAACTATCAGTTATAAGTACACAGTATACTAAAACAGTGGATGGCGTTAAAGGCGCGCTACGAATATCCTTTGCTATTTATTTCCGAGTTTTGCGCTCCCTCGCGTTGCAGGAATAAATTAGTTAAAATTATCTTTTTGTGCTAAGTTATGTCACTGTTTTCGCATATACTTAAAAAACTATTCACTTCAGTGTCGGTAGCTAACGGTGGATGATTACCTTGCTTTGCGGCTCGGTAAATATCCACCACTAGCCACCTTCACTTCGGCGGAGAGTTGATGACAATTACACAGATTTGGCCAAGCCTAAAAGCGGAGCTCCAGTTAGTTTATTTTCTGGTCCTTCATTTTATCAGTATTTCTTACTGGGTGTTGAACAGTTTATTCAAGGAAATTTAGGGACCATTTATCAACTATATAGAGGGGGGACGTGGAGTCAATGACTTTTTGAAGAGCGTTAGTCAAGAGCGAAGGCTATTTTCCTTTCTTCATTTAAAAAATAAGGGGGTTATCAACTTGTTACAGGCACAGTGGACAATAAGAGTGATTCTGTCGGTGATAATGACTAGATTATTTGTGAAAAGAACCAGAGGAGGATAAAAAGCAGGACATGAAATTTTCTGCGCAACTCTTATTTTAGTTTCAAAATCTGGCTACCATGCTAAGGCACTCCTATTTTTGCCTTGCGCATTATGCGGATGCTTATTACTTTAAACTTAATGCATCAAAATACAAAAAAGGTGCTATAAATCTACATTTATGTGCCCCAAAAGATTAAAGAGGGGGAGGCAGGCCAAAGAAAAAACTTAAACTAAAAGAGGAGGGCACCCAATAATTTCAGGCCTCAGTGAAGGACGACCCTTGCTTTTCCAGGTTGCCACCTTTTGAAAACTTACGTATCATGTCAAAAATCGATTATCTCAAAATTTCCTTTGTGGAATGGGTATCAGTATTTCTAAGAACATTGTAATTGAAAGCTTGAGCTTAAGAGCAACAAAGAACAAAGAAATAAAGATGACAAATAGTAACAAAACAAATTTGAAAGTTTGAATCCTGAAAGAGAATCTACATTACAACACCAAGCTAGATCATTAATTTACTAGAATACTCACAGAATACTCACTTTGTGTTGCTGATAATAAACGTCGATGAAATAATCTAATAGTTTTCTGTCAATATACAAGTATTAATTGTTAGGCAACTGAGGTTGAAAAACTTGAAGGTTAAGGAGGTGCGTGGTTGCTGTGTTGCGACCGAACGGACGAACATGAAACATTTTATTGAATTCTTGGATCTTAGTTGTTTTCATTAGGATCTTTCTATCAAACATATGCTTAATGCTACTGATTTGAACTGGGTTAGTCATTGGGTTAAAAACAGTTTCAGGGACGAGATCTTAAAAAGTTAGGTTTGGATCAGATGTAACGCCAAAATATTTAATTACTTTTTCCGGTAGGAAACATTTCTCATGCAGCGACAGACGGAAATCACGGAGCTGAGAAAGCAGTTGACGACTACTGTGGAGCATAAACTTCGTCTTATCTGGTTTCAACAGAACAGGACTCGCCCAAAACGCCAGTAACGAATTCATACGAGAATACCATTAACATAAGAGTTTGCATCATTCACAAGAAAATGTAAACTTCGATGTTGTCAACCTAAAGCTTCCAGAAAAACAATGCCTGAAAGTTGATGGTAGATCGTTCACGTTTGATGCCGAATAAGGCAGGGGCTAAGACAATTCCTTATTTATACTGAGGACATAGTTATCTGTAATTATACGATTGTGGTTGCTCTGCAGTTTTTTTTGCTCATAGAGAAAGGGTAACTACGTATCCTCATTTCCTTGAAAGTGACTTTTAATAACATGTTTCAAACCTGATTTCACAAGATCAAATAAAACCTTTCGTGTCGATTCTGGTTTACGCCAGTTTCACCACATGCCGAGTTCGTGACGTTCAAGTTCGCTACAAGTTTCGCTGCATATAAGTCGAGTTCGTTTCATCAGCTAACCAACTTCTCTACCACACAAAACATTACGAATTAAAACGAAGACTATTTCAATGCTTTATGTACTGACGGGTTGAATATACTGTCAACTACGCCTAGGCAAGAAATATCCTCTAGATCATAAGCTATGTCAGTCGAGCTTCTTTCAATTAACTGATACTCTTCTAACCTTAGGCGTGAACTTAAAGGACAAACAGGATTTACATGAATATTAATTTTACCAATGAAAGTTTGAAACTCCAGGCATACACTTATGAACTTAAATCCCTGTTGTTCCCTGACGGACCGTGGTGTGCGTGTGCGTGCGTGTGTTTGTGGGTGTGTATCGGACAATTTTGTGTAACTGATGTTTTCCATTTGTAAAGAAAAAGAGCACAACTTTCAAAAGCACCAAAATATCGCATTACTTTACCTTAACTTAAGAAAAAAGATTACTAAAAAGTGTTCAATTTTTTAATCGAGCTCTACAGGAACGCTCGAGTCGAAAAATGCAAACCGTCTTTTCTCTCTTTTGGTCGCCAAATCTACACCATGGTCCCAGGCATTCCTAGCGGAGATGCTAGGAACTGGGGATGAGAATCGCGAGCCTCCCTTAATAGGTTTGCCTCAGTCCCTATATCACACTATTTTTTTCTGCTCAAATATCTGGGAGGTGGTACAAAGGCCGAAATTTTTGCCTGATTACATGGAGTTATTAACATAATTTAAAATGACATCTGTCGCCACAGGATAAAATGATATGGCTGGGTTTTCCCTCTTTTAGCTCCATCCTTGATGAAATCTTTTATTATATCTTGATCACGTTTACATGATAGATGTGGTAGCCTGCCCTGGCTAGTGGCTCGGTCTGTCGGGTAGGGTAACCATATCAGCCAAGGTCGCAATGTGCCATGTAAACGTCTCAAGGAGGGGTAACCCGCCTAGCCAGGGTCGCGTTCATGTTACATTTACAAGCGCCAACAACCTCACCCAGGAATCCTGGGGTTGTAAAAATTGTTCGTAAACGCAAGCTATTTTTCGAGCACGGCTAGGCCTACCTGGAGTACCCCACCTTCATGCAAACAAGCCCTTAAAAGGAAGACGATGTGACTCCTTGAATGACGTGACGTGCCAGACAACTGGTAACTGCGTGACTTTGATCTTCACTCCCGGGTTTTGGCATGAGAGAAGTTCTTGCCACGCATTTGTGGCCTGAAGGAGAAAGAAATCTGGGAAATTTTGGTGCACTTCTCCCTAACTGGAATGTAAGGTACCATAATGATTCGATTTAGCGCCCTCTTTCCAATAGGCACTCCCTCTCTAAGAGAGCCCCCTTCGAATCTGTTTTGCCAATAAGCGCCCCTTTTCTAATAAGCGCCCGTATTGAGTAAGCACCCTTATTCCAATAAGCGCCCCTATTCTGTTTCATTAATTGCACTGCTAGAGTGCTTGAACACTGAGATCAACCGTGGTCCATCTTCCTTTAATTGCTCGCGTGAAGCCTCACGACAAAAAAGTAGTCTTCGTCTCAGTTTCTCAACTATTATGTCGCTGTTAGTGCTCAGTTTCTTAAAACGAAAGATCCTGTCTTTTGCAACAATTGCTCGGCAAGTCGTTCTAGCAAGGAAGGGCCCACGGACAATAAGTGAGTTTTCCAGTCTTTTTGATCCCCAGTCCAATAAACATCAAAGCTTTGTTTCACATTCTGCTGATTCTCAAAAAAGAGATAAGCACCTTGTCCCCTTGAGGAGAGCGCCCTGTTTCGAATAAGCGCCCTCCCTTCAACTACTAAAAGTAAAGAAGCGCCCGTGGTCTGAATCATTACGGTTGTACAAAAGCTAACTCTTATGATAAATTGTTGAATGGGAGAAGAATGATGAACTTTTTTTCATGCAATAGGAAGC